GAGTTGTATATCTTTGCATTTTAGAATTTTTTCTAGTACTTTCATAGCCACCTCCCCATTCTTAGTCTTCTTCTGATTTCCTGATTGCAGTCCCCATTTCTATCAATGTTTGATCCCAGGTATGCAAATTCTTTTACTATTTCTATTTCTTCACTGTCTAGGTTGAACTTATGAAGGTCCTCAGTGGTCATTGTTTCTGTTTTCTTTATGTTCATCCTTAAACCTGCCTTTGCACTTTCTTTTTTGATCTTCCTTAGTAGGTGTTCCAGATCTGGGAGGTTTTCTGCTAGTACTATGGTGTCATCTGCATATCTTAGATTGCTGATATTTCTTCCTCCTATTTTCACTCCTCCTTCTGTATCCAAGCCTGCTTTTCTTATATTATGTTCTGCATACAAGTTGAACAGATAGGATGAAAAGATGTACCGTTGTCTGACTAGCAAGGGTTACTAGTCACATAAAAAGTAGAGGATGTTTCCAGGGATAGTACTAGTTGTGAAGCTCCTTATTTTGCATGTCTGGGCTAGGGAAAGTAGACAGGAGAGGTGGCTCTGTGGCTAAACCTTTCAGGGCCAAACAACATATTGCAAGCTGTGTAATCTTGTTAAGTTTCTGATTTATAAATCTCTTTCAAATACAAAGAAGGAAGGGAACCATGCGTATGCAAGTGTTTTACAGATCGGCGCGCAGGAATACATATAAGACAGTCTTTTTGTGGTTTTGTGATGTCAGATGGCTTGATGCTGAACAGTATTGTGGCAACATAGCAGTGCTGAAATTTCAGGTTTTTACGTTCTGTTTCCAATATGAAGGATAGGGTAATATCTTTGGGTCGCTTTGGGTATCTATAAAGATCTTGGACTAGGCATCAATCTACAGGACCTAAGAGTAGAGAATCCCTTGTAAATCTTGGAAGAGGTTAATCTGAGGCTGTCATACTTTGGCCATATTATGACTCAATAGAAAAGAGAATAATGCTTGGGAAAGTGGAAGGTAGTAGGAAAAGAGGACAATAACATTTCTGACGGATAGACTTGGGATGCATCTATACATCCTTTAAAAATAATGCAGTTTGACACCACATTAACTGCCAAATCCTTGGATTTGTAATTTTATAATGCATGGTCACACTTTGGCAGAGAGGGCTAAAGAAATCCCAATATTCCATAGGATGCTGCAGCACTTAAAGTGGTGTCAAGCTGCATTATTTCTACAGTGTAGATGCCCCTTGAAAGAAGCCACAGTCCTGAGTCTGCAAGCAAGGCTGTTGGCAAGAGGGTGACTTGGAGGTCTCATCATGGGGTCCCCATAAAGTGGAAATTGATTTGATGGCAGTTAATAATAAAACCAACCGCCTATTTAGGGGCTGCTGAACTGTTGAAGCCTCATTCAACCTGTATCTTTGAATGATGTGCAAAAAAATAATAATGTAAGAATCGAGTTCAGTGTTGTTCAAAATGCAAGTACAATCCATCCTTTCCCCTTTCTTTCCTATTTTAAACCAGTGCGGCGTAGTGGCGTGAGTGTTGGACTATGACTATGGAGACCAGAGTTCAATTTCCCGCTCAGGGTGGCCAGATGTCATCACCGCAAAGGTGGACAAGCCCCAGAAAAATGTAGGACACTGCAAAATAAAAGCTAAAATGACTTCTTAAGTCATGC